CATATGATCATCTCACTAGATGCTGAAAAAGCATTTGACAAAATTCAACACCCATTTATGATAAAGGTGTTGGAGAGACTGGGGATACAAGGATCATACCTAAATATAATAAAAGCAATATACAGCAAGCCGACAGTTAACATCAAACTGAATGGAGAGAAACTCAAAGCCTTTCCACTAAAATCAGGAACGCGACAAGGCTGTCCACTCTTTCCATACCTCTTCAATATAGTGCTTGAAGTTCTAGCAATAGCAATAAGACAACATAAGGAGATCAAGGGGATTCGTATTGGAAAGGATGAAGTTAAACTTTCGTTATTTGCTGACGATATGATAGTTTACATAAGTGACCCCAAAAACTCTACCAAAGAACTCCTACAGCTGATAAACACCTTTAGTAACGTGGCAGGATACAAGATCAACTCCAAAAAATCAGTGGCCCTCCTATACACAAAGGATAAAGAAGCAGAGAGGGAAATCAGAGAAACATCACCTTTCATGATAGCCACAAATAGCATAAAATATCTTGGGGTTACTCTAACCAAGGAAGTGAAAGACCTATTTGACAAGAACTTTAAGTCTTTGAAGAAAGAAATTGAGGAGGATACCAGAAAACGGAAAGACCTCCCCTGCTCTTGGATTGGGAGAATCAACATAGTAAAAATGGCAATTCTACCAAAAGCAATCTATAGATTCAATGAAATCCCCATCAAAATCCCATCAAACTTCTTCACAGACCTTGAGAGAACAATAATCAAGTTTATATGGCAAAACAAAAAACCCAGGATAGCCAAAACAATCTTATACAATAAAAGAACTTCTGGAGGTATAACCATCCCTGACTTCAAACTCTATTATATAGCTACAGTATTGAAAACAGCTTGGTATTGGCATAAGAACAGAGAAGTCGACCTATGGAATCGAATAGAAGACCCAGATATTAACCCACAAACTTATGAACACCTAATTTTCGACAAGGGAGCTAAAGGTATACAATGGAAGAAGGAAAGCATCTTTAACAAATGGTGCTGACATAACTGGATGTCAACCTGTAAAAAAATGAAAGTAGATCCATATCTATCACCATGCACAAAAATCAAGTCCAAATGGATTAAAGACATCAACATTAATCCGTCCACTTTGAACCTGATAGAAGAGAAAGTGGGAAGTAGTCTACAAGATATAGGCACAGGAGGCCTCTTCCTAAGTAGGACCCCAGCAGCACAGACAATAAGAGAAACAATGAATAAATGGGATCTACTGAAACTGAGAAGCTTCTGTAAAGCAAAGGACACTGTCAGTAAGACAAAAAGGCTGCCTTCTGACTGGGAGAAGATCTTCACCAACCCCTCATCAGACAAAGGTCTGATCTCCAAAATATACAAAGAACTCAAGAAACTAGGCACTAAAACTCTAATTAACCCAATTAAAAAATGGGGCACTGAACTGAACAGAGAATTCACAACAGATGAACTTCGAATGGCCAGAAGACACTTAAGGTCATGCTCAACCTCCTTAGCGATCAGGGAAATGCAAATCAAATCCACTTTGAGATACCATCTTACACCTGTCAGAATAGCTAAAGTCAAAAATACCAACGATAGCCTATGCTGGAGAGGATGTGGGGTGAGGGGAACACTCATCCATTGTTGGTGGGAATGCAAACTCGTGCAGCCACTGTGGAAATCAGTGTGGCGGTTTCTCAGGAAACTGGGAGTCAACCTCCCTCAGGACCCAGCAATTCCACTCTTGGGAATATACCCTAAAGATTCCCTAACATACTACAAAAGCATTTGTTCATAGCAGCACTATTTGTAATAGCCAGAACCTGGAAACAGCCTAGGTGCCCCTCAATAGAAGAATGGTTAAAAAAGGTGTGGAACATATACACATTAGAGTTTTACTCAGTGGTAAAAAACAATGACATCTTGAATTTTGCATGCAAATGGATGGACATAGAAAACGCTTTACTGAGTGAGGTAAGCCAGACCCAAAAAGAGGAACACGGTATGTATTCACTCATAAGTGGATTCTAACCATAATTAAAGGTCTTTGAGCCTATTATTCGTGATCCTAGAGAAGCTAAATAAGAAGATGAACCTGATGAAGATTATTTAGCTATCCACCAGGAGGTAGGAAATAGACAAGAGTCCCAGGTAACCTCGGGTGCATGGGGGGGTGGGAGGGTTGATGGAAGGTGAGAGGGTTAGAGAGAAGGGAGTAGGGGAGGAATGGGGAAAGCTCGGTGACCTGGGATGGGGGGGGGAGGGAGGAAGGATGAATATGGGAGCAGGGAAGAATATATTTCAACTAAGGGAGTCATTTTAGGGTTTACAGGAGACTTGATTATATATGGGATCCCAGGTCCAAGGAGAGATCCCCAGATTGTTCTCTGGACAGAGGAGAGGGTGCCTGAATCGGCCGTGGCCCATAACCATACTGATGTATATTTTGCTTATCACCATAGATCCTTCATCTGGCGAAGGACGGCGATAAAGCCGGAGACCCACATTGGAGCACCGGACTGAGCCCCCCAAGGTCCAAATGAGGAGCAGAAGGAGGAAGAACATGAAAAACCAAACCAGTACTGCGAGGGATGCTATCACCTACTGATACAAGGAAACGGATCTAATGAGAGTTTACCAAGGCCAGTTGGACTGGGACTGAACGAGGATGTGATCTAACCAGATTCTCGGAATTTGGCCGGATTCTCTGAATGTGGCTGGCCCGAAGTCTTTTTGAAAAGCCATTGACTATGATACTGGGACCTGTTTCCTCTGCATATTCTGGATTTTGGGGATCCAGTCTGTTTGGATACTCACCTTCCTGGACCTGGAGGGAGGGGGAGGAACTTGAACTTCCCACAGGGCAGGAAACCCTGACTGCCCTAAGGGACGAAGAGGGAGGAGGAGAGGGAGTGGGGGGAGTGGGAGGGTGTTGGGAAGAGGGGAGGAAATGGAAACTTTTATATATTAATAAAATTTACTTTCAAAAAAAAAAAAAGAGTTTCTGTGGTCATAGTGTGGCTCCTCACAGCAAAGAAATCCTAACAAAGACAGATGTTGGTACCAAGGACTGGGGTATTGTTGTGATATGCCTGACTATGATTTTGTTTGAAGGAATGGGGATGTTGAGACTTTGTCTTAGGAATCCAGTTGAATGCTTTAAGTGGTGCTTCATAGGTCATACATACTAGTAGCAATATGGAAGACAGTGGTGAAAATGGTGATTTGGTTTCAGAGTAGAAGAATATTTGTTTGTGTCCTAGGGGACATTCTAGTGGTATTTTGGCAAAGAATATGGCTGCTTTCTGTCCTTGTTAAAAAAAAAAAAATCTGTCTGAGGTTAAATTAAATTTAAGAGTTATAAATTAATAGTTTTGGCAGAGGAGATTTCCAGATATCCTAGTATTGACTGTGTTGCTTGGTTATTAGTGGAGATGCTATGCATATCTATATTGAAAAGGAGCAAACTGAGAAAGGAAAAACACAAAATGAGTGGTTTGAAGAGAAAAGGAGCACCAGGAAGTATAATGTAGTCAAGTCCAGTACTCAAGAAGATAAAAAGAGTGAAGAAAAACCTAATGCTAAATGGAATAAAGGGAATGGTGACTTCAGGGCAAGACCCTGCTCAGCTAAGCTTCAAATTTGTGAGAAAAAAAATTAAAGAAAACTTTAGGACCAGGTATGGTGGCATACGTCAAATTCCAGAGGCAGGAGCAGGTGAATCTCTGAGTTCAAGGTCAACCTGGTCTACAGAGTGAGTTCTAGGACAGTCAAGTGAAGGAAACCATTTAAAACAGAAAGCAAGTGAAAATGTATTTGAATGAGGGGTTTTGTTTCAGCTCCAACAAGCAGCAGAACTTGGTAGCTTTGGCCACATTGTTCTGGCTTTAGAGTGGAGGATTTAAGAAAGGGGTTATGAATGTTCCTTCTTTGGCTAAGAAAAAACTACCCATGAAAGGCATGTGTCAGGTGTTTCCCTGCATTGTGTGAAATTGTGAAGGTGAACCCTGGATTGTATTGGAAAACCCAAGATGTTGGAGAGGCCAGAATCATGGCAAACCTGCCAAGGGAAGCTGAAAACAGGGGTGGAACTAACCCAAGAGACAGAAGTGTATTGAAGTCAGCAAAGGTGAAAAGAGCTGGAGCTCTAAAGAGCACTTTGACATCAAACATGCAGATATATATATATATATATACCTGTATGTATTTATATAGAGAAATTCATTTAAGATGTTATTGGAGACATTTCAGAAAGTAGATATTTTTATTGATAATTATGAACAAACACATTTCATGCAGCTCATCTTATAATTCCTTCATGCAGTATAAGTCCCAGAATATTCTGATTTAACATATTTCAATAAAACGAATTTATATATAGAATAAAATGGCATTTCTAATGACTCATACATAAAATTATTAAACTCAACATAAAGGAAAATATCAAGAGTTAATATGCATGACCAATAGAAATTGGAAGAATAAAATATTGACTTTGCAAGGCCACAGTTCTTGCATAAAGTATAATAAACTCCACAGCTCAGGCTGCCCTGCCTCCCAGAACCACAGCCAGGGATGGGCACAAGCAGCTCAACCTTCATGAGGTTCTCCAGACTTTCCTAAAACTAACCTAGAGAAAGGCTCTAAAAAAACATCAAATAACAGCCAAACAAAAAACACAGAATCAAAAAAATGATAGGAGAGTGAAAAGCAATTCCAGGCTCTTTATGTGAAGAAGTAAACATAAAGACAGTATTTTTCATTTATCGATGCTCTTATGGTAGAAGCCATTTATATTTTGCACACATAATTCCATGGACATGAGCATTAACCCATTTTTACAACCTAAGCATAACATCCTGTAAGTGACAAAATGAAGAAAACAACTGAAATACTCTTCCAGGCACAAGGAAGAGAAATGAGGTGGGGAAGCAGGCACAAGAGAGTCTCAGGGACGTGTCTTTGGAAGCTTGTGGAGGACTGTTGTCTGTGCTCTTTAAGCCAGCAGGAGCTGACCAGCGAGGGCAGAACTTCTTTCTTTAACTAAGGCAGCTATGATGGAGGCACCTTGTTGTAAACTCTCTTGTAGTTTCTGCTCATCCTGGAAAAAAAGACAAACAATAATATACAAATTAAAAGCAGAACCCAAGGATTTCAAAAATAACTATGATTAACACATCTTTAAAAAGAGAATTAGACTAAAATGCTGACAAAAACAGAAAATGGAAATTTGCAAAATACCCTTTATACTAAAATATATTTTACAGGAACAAAATACAACACTGAAATGAAGAATTGATTAAGCTGGGTTGGCATGAGATTGAAGCTGTGTTGGCAGAGAAGAAGCCAGTGCTAGGGACCCTAAAGATAAATAAGAGCAGTATATCAGGTGAAACACACAGAAAAATGGTAATGCTATATTTTAATATCATGTAGCATTATTATCATTATATTTTCATTATCTATTTATACTCCCTCCCTCTGACCACAAGAAAACACATATGGACCATTTAGGAAACCACAAAATAGCATCCCTAGAAGAGAAGTCATCTGGGAACATCTAATTGAGGAAAGAGAAAAGAGTAAAAGAAGTCCTCTCTATTCTGGAACTGTCAGCTCTATGTTGTGTGGCCAAATGCAACTATCATATTGTGGTCACGGGTCACACAAGCAGGAGGGCCCAGAGTATAGCAATAGCACACAGTTCTGAGATGTTGGCTTGCAAAGGTGAAAGCGAAGGATGAGAGAAATGAGCTAAATGTCTGGAGTCAATAAGAATGGTTTTGGATAATCAAACATGAAGACTGGTCTGACAGACACGTACCAGTGCTATAAGCCAGGTCGTAAGGCGGCGAATATAGTCCAATTCCCATACTAAAAAGTAAAGGGAAAATAACCCAAGTTGAACTCATCAGCAGTTCTATGACTGCAAGAACACTAATTGTACGGCTACAGAGAGCATACTGCTCTTCCACAAGAGTCCCCTTCCCAGGACCCACACCAGGCTCCTGTAACTCCAACGGCAGGGTCTGCTGTACTCTTCTGACCTCTGTGGGCACTGCCTGCACACACATCCCCACAGAGATAAACACCTATACACAAGCTTAAAAGTTAAGGAAATGTTCAATGCTGCACACCAGTGTTTGTATGTACATTCATCAACTGTTATAACACAGTTGGTGGGCTGGAATAAGTAAGAGCTGTACTCAGGGCTACGGATATACTCAGGGCTGTAACAGCATGCACTCCAATCCAGTCACAATCACTGAAGGGCCCCCATTTGTTCTGCTGCCCTGTTCACTGGTACAGCACTCTAAGAATATTTTAACTTAAAAATTTATTCTCTTGCAAAACAATAAAAATCTAACATGTATTTACCAATACGGCACTTACTCTTTTCTATCTTGGCTGTATCTATAGATGGCAAAGGTAAAAACTCAGCATAAAAGGGAAGCAAGTGGACTCCAGTGTTTTGGAAGGAAGAGTATTAGTTGTTAAATAGAGCCATGTGAGGATGCACATCTTAGATGTGTCAACTTGACCACATCTGGAGTTAACTAAGCCGAATGGCTCGGTCCATCTGTGAGTGATTTTTCTTCTGAATTAGATCATTTGAAATTGGAAGTCCCAGTTTTAATCCAGATCTTTGAGGTGGGAAGATCTACCTTTAATCTGGGTAACACCATTTGCTGAAAGTTTATAAAAGACCACGAAAAAAGGAAGTGCTTTTTCTCCTGGCATTAGAGTAAACTTATTTGGGATTCCAGTATATACTGAAGAGTAGCCGATACATCCAACCTCAGCTGTGACTGAACAACTATGGGATTCTCAAGTTTTCCTTTGGTAGACAGCCACTGTTGGATTAGCTGGCGACTGTAAGCTAATATTAAAAAAAATCCCTTTTATATATCATAATTCTAGAAGTTCTCTTTCTCTAGAGAACCATGGCAATCCAAGAGATTTAGGGCAAGTTTTTATTCTTTGTGCTTTTCTGTATTTAAAAAGATTTAATCACAAACTTATTTTAGGTTTCTCATAAGCAAAACAAATTACATTCATTTGCAAGGAGGTTTACATTTAAATTTAATTTGCATCATGTAAAATCAATAATCTAGAATTTTCTCTAAATTTTCAGACAACATTAATGTCTACACATATCTCCAATTTATAAAGAAAATGTTTTGTTAGGAAAATCCAGCCTTCTTTAAGAGTCTGCCAAAAGAACATTAATAATTTAGCAAGCTTGAGCTTTCCATCGACCTAAGTCAATAGAATATTAAGCAGTTATTGTGGCAGTCAAGCTAGAATCATCACGTTTGTACTTAGCTTGACTCAGGGCATAACAATTGCTCAATGACATACTGAAAGCTTCACTGTCAGATTTTGAAAGTGATAGGAATAATAACAAAGGAACCACATGAAATACTAGTTTTGATGTTCTGTATCCTTAAACTGCAATACTGAGCATCAGAATCTACCATGAGTTTTACCTAGGAAATTTTGTTCATTTACTTTTCCACAATTTCAAGGCTGAGTTGAAATACACCATGCTTGTACAAAGGTTGTGCTTATGAACACGGGGGCACAAGTTCTAATCACCACTGTCTTTTTCTCATCTGAATTACAGTTTATCTTTGAAGTTTTAAAAATTTACAATATAAATTATTTCTTAATTCCATCCAACCCCTCCCATAGCCCCCTTTACTCCCTCTCAAATTCATGGTCTCTTTTTAATTATTATTGATACACACATATGTATCTATATGTGTATTGCATATGTATGTGCATAAATATATAAATACAACCTGCTGTTTCCTGTTACTTGCATGTATGTGATTTCAGGGCTGATTACTTAATCTTGGATAATTGCTGTGGTCCGAAGGATTAGGCAATGAGACTTCAGCTGACAAATCAGGTCAACCCACCAGAAATACGCATTCTGATGGAGGCAAGCTTAGATGCAAGGCATTGGGAGCACTTCCTTTTGAATAGTGGCTGTTTCCGCTGTGAGTCCCTTGTGAAGCCATAGCACTCCCCTCTATAGTGGGACTCATTCCAAGAGTTACAGCAGTATATTAATCAATTATTGGGCAAAATTTTCCCATGTATTGGTTGGTATATTGGGTGACTTTTCCCACACTGTGAAACCCCCATGAGAAAGTTACTAACAGAGTTAAAAACCTTTGTTCCCACAGTCAAATCTCTGCACCATTCCCTCAGATAAACTTAGAAGCCAGCTCCCCACAATTATCTTTATGGCAGGACATTTGGCCAGAAGAAGAGTCTTGCAAACAGATCCCATTTGGGACCTTCACAGATAGGCTCTAGGAGGAAAGTGTGTCATAGCTGTGTCTGCAGATGAAGAGGACTGGGAGTTCTGAACTCGCCTGCAGCCATTCTGGGAAAGTGCACCGCGGCTCACCAGTTAACATGTTCCAACCTTAACAGACAATGGACACCCTGCACTTACTCTCCCCTCAGTTTAGTGATACAAGACATTAGTCTAGGAAATTAACTGTGTCTTAACCCTGGGAGATAATAGAAAAAAAAACTGTTGATCATTTAACCAGCTCTGGAGAAAGGTAACCCTTTTCACATAGGCACCATAGGAACAAATGCCACCATTTGGCCCAGGCAGCTGGGAATTGTCAGGCCCTGGATTTTGTACTATATAACCATAGATTTTTCTTTCTTCTAACCTCTTAGGGAGAGAGATATAATTCTTAGATCTGAGAGGTCCCCTTCAGCCAGTTAACATTGGCAAGAGTGCTAATGCAAACTGGGCTCTGTGTGTCTCCTTCCACAGTTTGCACAAGAATATGCTGTCTTTAGCAACAAAAATTACCCTCAACTTCTGGAGGTAACCAAGGAGAAAAGCAACATCATATATTGTTTTAGGAGTCTCTTGGACTGCCCTAACCAACAATGAGAAAGGAAGTTTCTCATGTCTGTTACTGAGGTTTCTATCATATAGTCTATAACTCTTGGGGTAATCATTACCTCCCCAAATGACACAATTATATATGTATACACACACTTTGTTTTCATTACTTTGCTATTGCTTTGACAAAACACTATGACCAAAACAGCTTATAAGAGAAAATGCTTAATTGGTTTACAGTTTCGGGGGGTTATAATTGATGAGGGCAGAGCAAATGCATAGTATCAACTGCTAAGAGTTCATCACTTGATCTAAAAGTAGCAGGTTTGACACTGCCATGCATTTGCTCTACCATTATGAACTGTAACCCTGTCAAACTGTAAGCCAATTAAGCAACGTGCCCTTTGGACAAAGGATTTGGAAGACTCAAGCTGGATCTGACCTGCCAATCTCTTCTCTGAGGATTGGCTTTCAAAGTACTGGAATGTGTTATGCAAGCTAACGAGAGAGAGGAATTCAGCTATGATGTCTATAAACTAGAAACAACCACAACCAGTACAGAAAAATGTTCACTAAAGGTGCAATAGTGGCTCTTATGTTTTGGCACCAACCAGCTGTCTAATTGGACTTAGGCCTCCATGAAAAGAAGGGAAATTATACCTGGTAATGGAAACACAGTTAACTATCCATGGCTAGTGATATCATGGAGAAATAGTGTAAGAGCCAAAAACCAGGCAGTGTGCCATGAGATTGTATCTTCTAGAAATGACAGGAAAGCTAAATCTATGATACTTCAACATTATAGCTGCCCAAATAAGACCTGAACCAATGATATGATACTACCAAATGACATGCTGATGTTTAAGAAGTACATCTCATGAGGTCCCAAAACCGCAATGAGACACATCTTCCAACACGGCCACACCTCTTAATCACTCTCATTTTCACCAACGAGGGACCAAGTATTAAAATATATAAACCTATGAGGGACATCCTCATTCAAACCACCACACCCCCACAATTTGAAGTAAATATGAAATAATATGCCTTTCAAAGGCATGCCTCTGTGCCTTTTCAAAGCTCCTTAGGGTTATTTATCCCTCCTTCATTCCCCTTCTTCCGTATTGATCTGCATCACCTATTACCAATTAAGTCTCACCCATTTTCTCCACATTTTCCTTCATATCACTTGTACCCTGTTCTTTGTAGCACTTACCCTC